GCGTCGAGAAGTGAGAAACACACTCGCAGAACAAACGAGGGTCGCTGAAGCGGCGCTATGTAGCAGAGCAGGTCGGAAGGGCGGAGAGCGGGGAGGCCGGGGGGAGAAAGGGAGGGACAGGGAGGAGAAGGCGAGAGGTGGAGGGTGGAGCCGCTGCGAAATAAATAATATCCCGGGGCGGAGCCAGCCGGAGCCAGCTCAGGGAAAACAAGAACTTGTCAGGCTCTTAAATAATTCCACGACCTAATGATCTGCCGCACCGCTGCGCCGCGCCGCCGCCCAGCAGGGCTTCGCGCCTGTGTGTGAGTGCGGGAGTAGAGTGAGTGAGCGAGTAAGTTTGTGTGTAGAGAGAGATAGAGGGAGCTTGCGTGTGGGCCGGATACAGTGCGGGGCTCATTGCATCTGCAACCCCTTCGAGGCGCGGCGGCGGGGTGAGGCGTGAAGCGCCTTGGTCAGGGAGGTGGCGCCACTCCACTCCACACCGCCGTGGCCTAACGCCTAAGCAGCCCGAGGTCTCAAGTTAGCCTCCGCACAACACGCTCCTCGTCGCGGTCCGGGCCAAGGCTTTGTTTCCGGGGTCGGCCGAGGACTTCCCCCGTGTCTTGTACACCCGCAGCGGTGCGGGGCTGGGGGCGGCGGGGGCGGCGCGGGCGGACACTGCCAACTGCCAGGCGGCGCACCAGCAGAGCGCCGTGCGAGGGGGCGCAAAGGGATCTGGGGAAAAGAGAAGCTACAGTAATGGGCTTCCGTTCCGGCGTCCTGGCGCGCCACCCTCCCCTCCGGCTCCAACCCTCCCCCACCCCCTCCTCAAACCGGGCGCACCTCGGAGGGTGGGGGTACATCATCGCCAAAGGGAGCCGGAGCCACCCCCGCATTCGCCCCGCCGCACCCCCCGCCGCGCGGATCTACTCCCGCGGCCACCCCTTCCCCCGGCTCCATCCCGAGCCCCACTCTCTCTTTCTCGTCTGGCTGCTGCCACATTATTTCTGCGGATATCTCTCCCTCCTTCTACCGGCATATTCCTCCTCCCTCCTACACCCTTCTGCAACACGGCTGAGCTCCCGCCCCGCCCCCGCGCCGCCCCGCCCGCGCGCCGCCCCGCCCGCCCCCGACTCCACTCTGCTCCGCTTTGTGCGCAAAAAGCGAGCAGGTGCTCTCACTGCTCTCACTGCTCTCGCCCTCTGTTGTGTTTCCCTCCTCTCTTTCCCTCGGTGGGCCCTATAGCTTCCTCCGCTCACCCCGCGCCCACCCCGCGCCCACCCCGCGCCCCGCCCTACACTCCCTACTCGCTGCCGTCGTTGGCCTGGGGACGTTCATAAATGATGTGGCCCAAGTGGGGGTGTGTGGCCTACATTCAGCCCTCGCCCCGCACCACCGCCTACAACCCCCGCAACCGGCGGTGCTACCTCCCGCTTGCAAGTGGACTGGACTTCCCGACTTACCCCTCCGACCTCCCCCACACTCCCCAATCCACTTGGTCACTTTGTTCCCCCCACCGCCCCACTCGTCCTGCCCCTCGCTTCCCCCACTCTAATCCACAAGGCCGCACGGGGGCGGGGCCGGCGCAGAGGGGGCAGCGGTGCAAATTAAAGGGAGTAAAGTTATAGAAGGCGCCGGGTGGGCGGGCGGAGAAGAACACGGAGGGGTGAAAAACGACGGCAAGCAGGGCGGCGCTCTGGGCACCGGGGGAGGGGGGGGGGGGTAAGGGGGAGTGCGGGGAAAGGGGGCTGCAGGAGAGGCTCGGGCTTCGCGCGCGCTTTGACGCCTCATTTTATTTTTCCAGAGAACTCAATCTCCCCTCTCGTCACTCGAATAAGGGTTGGGAGGAGAAAGGGGAGCGGTGCGGAGCGGAGGCGGCGAAGGGAGAGAAGGGAATGAGGCAGGGTGAGAGGGAGTGGGAGAAACAGAGATCGAGTGAAGCGGACCCGGGCGGTGCGGGGTGTGGGCCTGGGGGAGGAGGGCTGAGGGCTGAGGGTTGGGGTTGGGCGGCGGGGTGTAGGCGGCATGAGGGGCAGGCGTCCCATCTCGTCGGCAGGTCATTACATCAGCTCCTCGCAAACCCGATGGAAATCCTCACATTTCACTGCCCCTGCGCCACCACCACCACCCTGCCTCCGTGCTGATGGGGGATGTGAATGTGAGCCTGTCTGTGTGCGGAGAGAAAGGGGTAACGGGGTGGGGGATGACGAAGGGAAAGGGGACCCCTGTGTATCACGACAGAATAAACTCCGTCCCCAACTAACTCTACTCACCTCAACTCCCTTCCCCCTTTCCGCCCCGAGGCGAGGACCGCTCCGCTGCGCTGGGTCGGGCTGCCTCCACTTTGGTGTTCGCCCCCGCCCCTCCCCGCCAAAGATAAGCCCCGAAAAGGCAGAGGACGAGAAAGGGGTGGTCCCGGGGGTGGGGGTAGGGTGCTGGCCGTGCTGGCGTGGCGCGCAGAGGCGGGGGCCCTAGAGGCCCCGAGGGGGCACAATGGAGAGAGGCGAGACGGGGGAGTAGGGGGCGGAGCGAGGCGGAGCTGCTGGCAGGCTAAGCAAGTGAAGGGATGTAATTCGCCCGACCTGTATTGAATGGAGTGTTCCCTCTCTCCTACTCCGCCAGTCCTCCCTCTTCCCTCCCCCACTGCAGGCCCATCAAGTCAGTCCCGGCTCCCAGCAGCAGCAGCAGGTTTAGGGCGCCAAGAGCGGGGCGCTGCGGGGGGCGGGGGCGAGGATGCCACTATACTGTAGTGCTGGGCGGCGCGGCGGAGGGCGGGTGCGAAGGGGAGGAAGAAAGGGCGGAGGAGCAGCAGAGGACGAGGATGAGAATGGAAGGCAGGCAGGCGGAGCCGGGGACGGGACGGGGTAGGTCGTGAATCTGGCGACAATCGGGGGTTTGCTGGGAGCGCGCGGCTGCGCGGCCGTGCTGCGGGGCCATCGGTGCGCGGGGACGGTCGGGACGACGGACGGCGAGAAGGGGAGCAGGAGCAGGACAAACAAGGAGAGGGGAGGGCTGCTGGCCAGCATTCCTGGGGGCACTTCCCTCCACGACTCCCTGCTTCTACTCTCCTCATCCATCTAAGCCTTCTTTCTCTCGGGCCGCCTGGCCTCCTCGCGTGGGCGAGGGGAGGGAGCGGGAGGGAGAGGGTCGTGGACGTGGGCGCCGCCCGGCGCCGCCGCTGCCAGCCGGACGCCCCATCCCCATTGGTTCCTTCGTGGACCGTCGCCCGCTTTAATTAATCACTCAGGGAAGAGTCAACAATCGCATCGGCTTAGCCATCACTCAGACTCGCAGACCCGCGCGCCCTCACTCACAGCACAGACCCAGAGACTCGCTCGTCATACAGCGCTTCTCGTCGCCGAGTTGGTGCGTCGCGTCTGTGGCCACACACGCGGGGGCGACTGCGGTGGCTGACGGGCGGTTTTTCAAATAAAAGACCCGAAGTGCCCATGTGCCCAACCCTCTCCTCCCTTTTCCCCCGAGGTCTCCGCTCGCGGAACCTAACCTGACAAAGCGCCGTGCGCTGCTCGCGGCGGCAAAAGCGTCGAGAAGTGAGAAACACACTCGCAGAACAAACGAGGGTCGCTGAAGCGGCGCTATGTAGCAGGTCGGAAGGGCGGAGAGCGAGGGGAGGGCGACGGGGGAGAAAGGGAGGGACAGGGACAGGGAGGAGAAGGCGAGAGGTGGAGGGTGGAGCCGCTGCGAAATAAATAATATCCCGGGGCGGAGCCAGCCGGAGCCAGCTCAGGGAAAACAAGAACTTGTCAGGCTCTTAAATAATTCCACGACCTAATGATCTGCCGCACCGCTGCGCCGCGCCGCCGCCCAGCAGGGCTTCGCGCCTGTGTGTGAGTGCGGGAGTAGAGTGAGTGAGCGAGTAAGTTTGTGTGTAGAGAGAGATAGAGGGAGCTTGCGTGTGGGCCGGATACAGTGCGGGGCTCATTGCATCTGCAACCCCTTCTTCCCCGCACATTTGACATGTGTCGTTTCCATGGAAACCGCCACACACCCCTGCCCCTGCTGACCCCCCACCCCCTTTCTCTCTCGCTCGCTCTTCCTCCCCCACACACAAACACCCACACCCACAACGGCTGCTGCTGGGATGCCGTCGGCCCCGTCTCGCACAGAGATCACCGCTCATTGTTATAATTGTGCCCGAGCGTGCGGGGGTGGGGCCGGGCCGGGCCGAGGCGGCTGGCTGGAGGGTTGCGTGGGGAGGTTGGTGCTGATGGGGAGGGTGCAGCGTGCGTTTTTGCCTCCCGGCGACTCGGCCCCGCCCGGCTCTACTACCTCACCCGGCCCGACCCCGCCACCGACATCCCCGGCGTATGCCACTCCAGCCAGCCTCTCTCTATGTGTGCGGTTGCAGCCCCCTCCCTCCTGGCGATAACACGCTGCTCCCCCTCCCCCCTCCCCGCGTCCCACCTATTTTAATCCTTTCCAAACGCCCCCACCACCTCGCTCCCGCCCCGCAACGCCCCCTCCACGGTTGACGAGGGAGGTGGGCGGCCAGAGTTGAGCGGTTCTCCCTCCGCCCTTCCCTTTCCCCCGCCGGGGGACCGCAGCGCAGCGGACGCCGGGGGTCGCGCGGGCGTGGAGGGGCCGTAACTTTACCCTTCGGTGCCCCGTGGAAGGGGGAGGGGGCGCCGTTAGCACCCCCGGCCATCGGCGACCGGGTGAACATTCTTCTTTTAATCAGGGGACTGGGTCGACTCGTCGACTGGAACTGGGTCCCTCTCTGCTTCCGGGAAGTCGCGCGAGGCTACCTTGCACCTCACAGACCCCTTTCCGTCGCCGTCGTTGTCCCCTGCCGCCAGCCGCTCCGCCCTTCCGCCGCCCTGGCTTGTGCTCTGCTGCCGAGCGGAAAAGCGAGGCCGACCTTCGCAAACAGAACTTTGGCGAGCGCGAATAAAAATTAATTACTCCGGGACCAGGAGGGAGGGTGGTGAGCAGAGAGGCGGGAGGGGCGGGAGCCGGCCGGGCCGGGGGGAGTTCTCTGGAGGGCTTCATGAGTGATTTCCAGGGACGTGCGCGGCGGGAGGTGGGGCGAGCCGTGGGGTGGGGAGGAGGGATCTGCAGGAATTAGGAGAGCGGCCCCCGGGCCTACAGAAGGGGTTGAAAAGGGGCGTTGTGGTCTGTTTTCAGGCGGTGGCAGTTGTAGGGCCCGCCAGGAGAGGGGGAGGGTGGAGAGAGGGGGAGAGATGGAGAGAAAGGAGCTCGGTGGGGAGAGTGGCAGGGCCGACACGCCCGCCCTACGGCAGCCTTCGGGATCCACCACCTGCCCGCCCGGGAGCCCCGCGGGAGCTCCAGGTGGGCCGCGTGACCCATATAAAGACTCTTCAGCGAGTTCGGTCCCACGGCGGGCCTCAAGGCGGAGGGAGCTCCCTGTACGTCTCTGCACTTGCACACTGCCTCCCTCTTCAAGTGTGGGACAGAGGCCCAGCGGGCCGCGCCCAAGGAAAGTGTATTTTTCACGAAGGCCTCGTTGTGACCTCTTTATGACTTACGAGGTCACGATTCTTGCACTCGTGATCTCACTGGTGACCTCAAAAGTGCAAGGAATCGTGACCTCAGAGGTCTGAATGAGATCTTAGTGAGAAAAACATTTTCCTTGGGAGCCGTCCAGAAGTCCATCCACACCCACTCCGGGTCACGCCCTCTCTCCGTCTTTGCCTTGTCTGAGAAATAAAAAAAAAATACTGCGCCCAATGAATAATATGAAAATAGTAAATTTTTCGCTTCTGCTAATGTTGAATTTTCTATTTCTATATCTCTGTCATTAGTCATCGCATTATCTGACTCACTCCCATGTTCTATTTCTTTTCTCCTAGGCCATACTAGTGAATGTTACTGTTATGTTGGTACCACTGCGACGCGCTCGCCACTGGTGTCAGTCGCCCTTGGCTGCTCGGCGCGTCACGTCACGTCGCTGTCCGTCCGTCCGTCCCATTCCGTTGGTTGGCTGCTTCGTCCTGCTCATCTCTGGCAATGTCACAGGTAAGTGCGTCTTGTAAACTGACTTTTCATTGTCGTTATTGGCGATCGCCAGTCGGTAGTGGAAAGGCCTATTATGGTACTTCGCCAATCGAAAGGGAAAAGTGCAAAGTGACAAAACTGATCCGGAACCAGCAGACATAACCTTCCGTTCCGTTTCGAATAGCCTGTTATGAGTCACCACTTTCGTTAGTTGCCGATAATGTTATTTCAGAAGTGGTATTTCACGCTTTGTCACTTCTTTTCGTCTCCTCCCTGCCCGAAACGCTCAACGATGTTGGTGAGGTCATGGTTGGCCCAGTCACTGCCCGCGCGACCCCTCCCCCCACCCGGCCGTGTAACCAAACCATGCCACTTCCTCCTCGTTTCCGCTTTCCTCCGCTCCCCCGCGGGCGACTACCAATTAATAATTAATTTCCTCGCTGATTTTATCATGCGAAACTTTTCGGTAAGGCGGAGCAGCGCGGGGGCGGGCCTTGGGGGCGGCGGCGTGGCCAGAGCGCGGCGGTTAGTTGAGCTCGACACTTCCGGCTGCTCTTGTGTCGTGCCGGCGGCGCTCGGCTCCCGCCCCCCTTTCTGCCCTTTTCTACCCATTTCCCGATGAATAATCCATCCGGCACGAGGCCGGCGCTCGCGAGCTCGCCCTGCTCTCCCTTGCTGCGGTCCCTCAGCCTTCATCCCCACAGCCTCCTCCTTTGAGCAACTGACACGGCGGTGTGCGGGCTGAGCGGCAGGGCCATGACTTGGGGGCGGCGCCACGCCGCGCAAGAAAAGTAGCACGGCCGAAAGGGGGGGGGGGCGGCAAAAAAAGAGCAAGAGAGAAACAGCAAGGACGTCCGACCAGCACCCTGAGAGGGAGCCTATGCCCCACGCGGCTGAATCCAGGACATCCGGGAGGACGATGACAATGACGGCAAACGGGCGGGACGAGCAGCCCAGCAGCCCCCATTCCGGACCGCACCCCCTTTCCCCTCGCGGTGTCGTTGTTTTGGGGTTCGAATCTCCCGCTCCTGGCCTCCTGGCCCGGTGTGGTCGCTGTTATTGTTGGTGCTTCTTGCTTCTGCTTTCTGTTGTCTTCCACGAGTCCGCGCCGCCGACCTTTCATTTTACTTTGGTCGAGCCCCTAACCGGGCGGGGTCGAAAAGAGAGTCGACACAGATATGAAATCCCGGGGCCGCGAGCGGAGCGGAGCGCGCGGCGCGCTTGACTCGGGGGGAGCAAAAGGAGAGAAGGCCAAAGGGCAAAAGCTGGCCGGCGACGGAATAATTCCCCCCCTTCTTTGCGCGCGGGCGCAGGGGCGGGCGGGGTGGGGACCAAGGAGGAATAATTAAACAAAAAAGCAACAAAACGTGAAAGAGGGTCGGGTGGTCGGGGCGTACACGGCGAGAGGGGCGCGCGCTTGGACTTCCCTCTCTCCCTCGTTCCCTCCCTCTCTCTTTCTCGCTCCCCTTTCTCCCTCCCTCTCTCTTCCTCTCCCCTTCCCCCTTTTCCCTTTCTCCTCTTCTCCTGCTCCCTCTCTCGCGTTGTCTCTCTCTGTCTGCAGGGGGAGCGCGGGCCGCACGCTACGCCGTGGCCGTGGACGCCCCGTTGCCGCTGCCGCGAGCGCGCGCCAAATAATTAAGCAGGGGGGAACGCCAGGTAACGGCAAAGGAGTGGCGGTGGTGCCGGCCGGCGCCCGTGGCAGCGTCAATCACAGGGCACAGGGCACAGGCCGAGGGGGTCACCATCACCTGCTTGCTTACCTCCAAAGTGGTCGTCGTCCGCGGCGTCCGCCTCGACGGGCGAAAACTTCTCCTGGTGCGTGACGAAGGAGACGGGGCCGTTACTGGCGCCGACGGACTGCAAACACAAAAGAGAGGCAACGTTACAAACATGCAGCTCGCAGGGGTGCAATGTGTTAGAACGTGCTACACCGGTCCGGATCCGTGAAGTGTCGTCGCGTCGATTCTGTGTTGTAAACGCCCTTGTGAGACAAGGCTTGTGTGTGCACGCTTAGAAATTAGAGAGGAAGAAGAGAGCTATAAACGGAGAAAGGCGGAAATGAGGGGGATGAGGGCTAGGAACGAATGGGGGTGGAGCAAGAGAGAGAGAGAACCGGAGAGATGTAGTGGCGGCCGCACCTTTCAGCCAGGCTCTTTGCAGCGTAACCGCACCCTCGTAATGAGAGGCGCAGATCTCCTCCCCCCTCCTCCTCCTCGCCCCTCCCTCCCCCTCCCTCCCCCACGTGTCACGGCTCGACTCGACTTGACTTTGACTCCATAATCCCCGACGCTCAGAGGGCGCAGCACGGAGGCTTGAGGCTTCGCTGCCGCCCCTGCTGCTGCTGCTGCTGCTGCTACGGTGATGTTCATGTTCCGCATACGACTGGCGCCATCGAGCCGAGACTGTCATCCGACCTACCACTCCGGCAACCGGCAACCTCCGCCTCCCCGCCGTTTTGCGAATCCGATTCTCCAGTTTCTCATAGCACTCGAAAAGTCCTTCATTCGTCCTACAACCGAGCGACATTCGGTGCACTTGAATTTCCCCCAGTGTGCGGAGGGGCCAGTGTCCGGCTGGTCTGGTGTGTCGGGGGCGCCGCCGTTGTGCCGTGTCTACCTGTTGATCCCGGCCACGCCACGGCGGCGAGGCGTGGCCACCCCAAGGCTGCGCCCGCAGCCGAGGCCAGCGCGGCGCCGCGCGGCCGTCTGAGCACGCCTGCCTTGAATCGGGGATGAAGCGGTGTCTCGGCTCGGACGGCTCGGGGGCTCGGCGCTCGCCGCCCTACCCCAAGCTCCACCATCCCTCTCCCTCTCTCTAACCGCTCTCTATCCGCCGCCGCGCCCGCCCTCCATCTTCTTCTATCCGTGTTGCTTGCCCTCGCCGCGCCCATCGCTCACGGCCGGCGATCCTATGGGCGGCTCACGTCGGATGGATATGGAATGGGATGGGCCCCGGCCTCGGCCCCGGCCGCAGCGGCAGCTATCGCGCAGGGCCTCCGCGGGGGAAGGTGGGGGGCGCCCACCGACCCCACCCTCCAGCTGATACGGGACCGCACCAGCAGCCGGCAGACCCAAGTTGTGGGAGCCAAGTTTGGAAATGTCAGTCTGCGGGGGGCGTGGCGCGGCACGGCGCGGTGAGGCCCTCCCCGGCCGGGTCGGGTCGGTCTGTGGCTGCAGTACCAAACCCCCTGATCGGATAGCGTCGTGGCGGGGCGTGGCGGGGCGTGGCGGGGCCGTGTGGCTCCTTCCACTCCAGCGCACGGTGAGTGTGCCACATTCATCACCGAGCCGAACAGTCAGCCCTCTCCCACACTCCCCTTCCCCCTCTCCCAACGGCCATTCACCACCCTTCCATGTCCCTGGCGGCGCCACCCACCCCGCCCGGGGCAGGCAGTGCGCACAGGGAGGGCTATGCGCTTAGAAATATGCAGGTATGCAGATTGCAGTCGCAGGGCGGAGGGCGTGGCGGGCCGCGGCGGGGGCGGGACAGACAGAGCCGCCCGCTCGGCCGGCCCGCTCTCTGGGCCCGCGCTGTTCATCCTCGTGTTGTTATTTTTCCCCAGTGCGGCCATCATGCATACATAGTGGTGACAAGTGAAGCGCGAGCAGCAAGAACAACACTGCTGCTGCCACAACTGGGCGCCCCTTTTCCTCTTTGCCCCGTCCCCGCCCCACCCCCTACCTCGCCCACCCTCGCCCCACCCCGCCTCCTGCCCACTCGGATAAATAATGTCGGCAGGGCCCCGGCAGCCCTGTGTGGAGGGTGAGAGGAGGACGAGGGGAACAACAGAAATGTAAAAATTGTTTCAAGAGGAGTCAGCCTGGCCTCGGCTGGTTCTTCCCTCCTCACCCCTCTCTCCGCAGCAGGGTGGTTCGGGCGGAGGGGCGGCGGGGGCGTTATTTGCGATATGCGCTGGCAAAGTGGTCGTTAAATTTCAACAGGGCGGACTCTGCGGGACTCCTGGGTCGGCCCCTCCGAACAACACCCCCGCGCCCTGGCGCCGGTGGCCCTCTGACAGGTGCCCCCAACCCCTCCTATCAGGCGCGCGCTCGCCCCCTCCTACAAGCGCCCCACCCTCCTCTCAAACCCCTCCGCGTCGTGTTCGGCTGACTGGGTTCAACGCGGTCCAAACTCAACTCCCGCACAACTTTGGTCGCTTTACGAAACCAACAATCAATCAATCCACCCCTACCACCCCCGCTCTCTCTCTCTCTCTCTCTCCCTCTCTCTTGCGCGCGCCTCTGCGGCCCCGCACCCCTTGGGTCCTTTATCCTCCCCATCCCTCTGCCGCGCCTCCCCCCCAGTCCGATAGCACTCGCATTATACGGCGCACAAGCACACCCCAGCATCCCCGCCCTCTCTTTCTCGCTCCCCTTTCTCCCTCCCTCTCTCTTCCTCTCCCCTTCCCCCTTTTCCCTTTCTCCTCTTCTCCTGCTCCCTCTCTCGCGTTGTCTCTCTCTGTCTGCAGGGGGAGCGCGGGCCGCACGCTACGCCGTGGCCGTGGACGCCCCGTTGCCGCTGCCGCGAGCGCGCGCCAAATAATTAAGCAGGGGGGAACGCCAGGTAACGGCAAAGGAGTGGCGGTGGTGCCGGCCGGCGCCCGTGGCAGCGTCAATCACAGGGCACAGGGCACAGGCCGAGGGGGTCACCATCACCTGCTTGCTTACCTCCAAAGTGGTCGTCGTCCGCGGCGTCCGCCTCGACGGGCGAAAACTTCTCCTGGTGCGTGACGAAGGAGACGGGGCCGTTACTGGCGCCGACGGACTGCAAACACAAAAGAGAGGCAACGTTACAAACATGCAGCTCGCAGGGGTGCAATGTGTTAGAACGTGCTACACCGGTCCGGATCCGTGAAGTGTCGTCGCGTCGATTCTGTGTTGTAAACGCCCTTGTGAGACAAGGCTTGTGTGTGCACGCTTAGAAATTAGAGAGGAAGAAGAGAGCTATAAACGGAGAAAGGCGGAAATGAGGGGGATGAGGGCTAGGAACGAATGGGGGTGGAGCAAGAGAGAGAGAGAACCGGAGAGATGTAGTGGCGGCCGCACCTTTCAGCCAGGCTCTTTGCAGCGTAACCGCACCCTCGTAATGAGAGGCGCAGATCTCCTCCCCCCTCCTCCTCCTCGCCCCTCCCTCCCCTCCGTCTTTGCCTTGTCTGAGAAATAAAAAAAAAATACTGCGCCCAATGAATAATATGAAAATAGTAAATTTTTCGCTTCTGCTAATGTTGAATTTTCTATTTCTATATCTCTGTCATTAGTCATCGCATTATCTGACTCACTCCCATGTTCTATTTCTTTTCTCCTAGGCCATACTAGTGAATGTTACTGTT